AAAGTTAATAATTTATTCTCATTCATGCGACAAAAAACATCAACTCTAATTTAAAATGGAGGCAACATATCACGCAGTTAAGCAGTGTACAAATAAGAACCATTTTTGTACTTCAATTCAAACATGTATGTATGATGCAGATCTTACAAAAAATTTAAGTCTAAAATATATATAGTAGGGCGGAGTGTGTGAAATTTTAATATTCTTTGAGTATATATGGTTATCATCTCTGAATTGGTTAGAAACAATTAAACATATGCTCGTCTTGCTGTATGTGTGAACTTATTATCACAGTTGGTCATTTTCAACAAGAAGAAGAAAAAGAAGAGAAGAAATTAAAAATGAATGATAACACAATAGTACAAACGGTATTCTCTCACTCTATTTCTCTCTAATTGCTTGGGGAAATTATTGTTAATCGAAACTCACTCTATTAGAAGAAGAATAAAACGATCAGGAAATATCAGCTGTGTCTGATTTCTTTACCAACAATTAAACAAAAATAGAAAACAATATGCTGCCATATGAAAAATATTGTAGGAACATAAAAGAAGAAAATCAATGACAGATTAGCGTTTCAATCGAATATGACAAGTGCGCATATCGTGAGATGACCATAAATGTGATGCGCACATATATACACACTTTGAATTGACAGTTTTGGCAAGAGCGTGACTTTTCTTCTATGCCGTTATAATCGGCTTTTGTTATTTTCTTCTCTTGCCAAAATTTGTCCCGTATCTCCTGAGACACCACAATAGAAAAGCAAAGAATGATCCTACGTATTATTCTCATATCATGATAATACAAATGGAATGTCAGTTTTTTCATTAGCACATTGAAAACAGTTTAAATATATTCTACAATCTGTTTGAAATAATTCTTATTGTTCCGAAGAAACTTAACTTTGTTTAATGAAGAAAAACTTGTGAAGTTTGTTCGCAAATACTTGCGTAATGAGCAACATATATTGTTAAGGAGGATGTGATATACAAGTTCAATCGTCTACTCTAATTCCGTATTCTCGTTTAACCTTTTTTCTTTTCTTTTTTCTTCTAACAAGCACCGGATGTCCCTGAATCTGTCAGTACAGAACGTATCACTGATAAAATTAGATAATAATTGAAAGAAAAGAGAAAAAGTTTCTCTTACATAACAATGATTAAAAAAGGTATTCATGTCCCCCGATAGGTATGCACGCAATATAAACCGGTCATCTTCAATCATCTGAGAATAAAAATATTAATTAAAAATATTGCGAATGTTAAATAAATCGCAGCCACTTTTTACTGTTAAGGTCAATATATAAACATTGAAAGAAATTAACAAAACGTCGGCATTTCTTTGATTTTTCAAGTTGTATGGCTTATCTGTTCAAATGTTTACACCAATATATATAATTAAAGTCAGATAATCATTTAGCTACTTTCTTCACTATCGCCAAAGAGTCTGCCATGCGAGAATTACATCTGTCCATTTTTTTTTGACTGATAAACATCGAACAACAACAACTGACCAGAATTATTAGCCTTGAGACTTAATGAGATGAATGAAACAATACGATGTCAGCAAACCGAAGCTTCCAATGAAATTAAACCTCTATAATCGAGATGAAGAAGAAAATGACTTTTATCTTTCTTCTCATCAGATTTACTGTCGAGTGTGTGCACTTTACAGATTCTTCTTGTTTTCTGTGAGCGAGAAAAAAAACAACCTTTTTTTCTAATGTTCAGGTATATATTGTTTAGAAAATAATAGTCCACGGGTAATAAATCACGATTTCTACTTTAGACAAAAAAATCAACACTTTTCAATGAGTGTCAATCACTCTTGAACAAATTTGTTCGTCACACATCCCTCTTATAGTTAATAATCAAAAATACTGTGTCTATAACACCAAAGGTTAAAAATATCGAAACAAATCAACATACCGTTTTTCAAGTGTATAAATTCTATCTCTGTATGATATACACTTTAATAAACGACAATCTTGTCATAAAACTTGAAAAATAAAATAGTTTAACAATCAAGTTCACCTTGATATGAAAGGTGTCTAGTCATCTAAACGAACGATGTTAATCTTTCATTATTATCAATTGTCGATGGATCTGAAAAACAGCGATAAAGTATACATTCATAGCATTTAAAACTAAAACAATTCAACCTCCTGTGACATGTTCACATAAAATGTAGATGAATAAATCAAGTAATTTTAGCGATGACATCAAGGTTACAGACATTTTTTCTTTTTTTGTTGAAATACTTCAATTTTACAAGGTTCAATCTACAACCATTTTAATGATATTTATATTTCTAATTTTTGTCCACAACAATAACAATGAGTTCCTACAAATATACTGAGAAAAACGAGAAGAAATAATAGTTTCCTTTTATATGAATGAATAAGAATATGATATAAACTTGTGTTCATAGTATTTACATTTTTTTTTGTTCTCTATGCGTAATTTTTTTTTTCTTAAGAAGAATATTGTCTAGAAAGGAAATTTAATCGGAATATTCACGTTGTTACATTGCATCAATCATTTTAAGAATAGAGTAAACTGATCTTCTATTCTCATCGATATACACAACAATAGGCATTAAAAATGGCGGAAATAATTTCACTCACTAAACTATTGAACAATCGTTTTGTTTAATCAAATATAGAGTGAGTGTAATCAACAGTATAAATGCCAATATGAAGAAGGAAGTAAAGGCATGGATCGTCAAATAAGAAAAAATTGTACAAATTCCGATAGTCTAGGCCGGATGCTTGACTTTTACAGAAAATATAGAAGAATCGAATGGCATTCCTTTTACTATCCAACATCTCAGACTATCTAACAGTGATGGTATCAAGATTTTGAAAATTTTCTCTTCTTACTTAGTATTCAACTAAATACAACTCAAAAATGACAGAAAACAAATCAAAACTAATCATTTATTGTAAAATAAAATTTAACATAAAAATTTTGCAAAGCCTTTTTCTTACTGTATAAAACAATTATAGATGAATGTCAGAATACAACATTCACAAGTAGATGGCACCATTATTAGGGCACCACATAAATTGGCCGATAGTCCGTTATTTGAGAATCATTTTCTAGAAGCCTCGAAGAACTCTATTTACTTGATATCACAAATTTGGCTCAAATTTAAATCATAAATAGATTCTGATTCCATGAGCTTAAGGCGAAAATTTGAACGATTACTTTTCCTTCTTTCCTGAGTTATAGGCGTCGCCCTGATAACGATTCTAATGAAAGTCATAACCAAAATTTAAAAGAATGTTTTTATCTCTATTAAATATGAGACTTGAAAATAAATCATTCATAGTATTCAATATTTTTAACTGTGAACTATCTTTTCGTCTTATTTTTAAAACTTGGAACCAGAAATCCACACGAGTAGGGCTAGAAAATTTTTTCAAGCGTGGATGATCTCTAATCGAAAACTATTCTCGTTGAGTCGTGCTGAGAGAATCGATGAAATCATTATGTTTAGCATAAGTGCCACCAGTATTGTATCATTTTTTTCATATATGTAGTTGAATAACACGTTTACCTATTATCTGCGCCAAATCATAGTGGAGTCGGTTGTTTGTACTAGCTTGAATTTCTGAAAATAAAAATAGCAATCCATCAGTGTTTTTTCATAGACAGATAGGCCGAAATGTCTTCCACAAATTTGAATCTAAGCGTCCTCTTGCTTTCGCTTGGTTGAAGGGCCAGGGTTTTTCTCTAAGCTAATTTCACCTAATATACGTTTTCACTAGGTTTTTGAAACTTCTGTGAAAAATAAATATTGCCATGAGATTCAGCATAGTCGATAACTTATGTTTTCATGTGTTTTCACCGTACTCAGACCCAATTTAATGGAAGTCATATAGCTTAGAGAAAAACCCTGACCCTTCAACCAAGCGAAAGCAAGAGGACGCTTAGATTCAAATTTGTGGAAGACATTTTGGCCTATCTGTCTATGAAAAAACACCGATGGATTGCTATTTTTATTTTCGGAAATTCAAGCTAGTTTTTCAAAGGTTCTCGGAAAACCCAGTTTTTCGAATCTTTTTCAAACTTGTTTTTGCTTATGTAAAGTTAGCTTCAAGTGTCTATTTTCGATTGCTGAAAACCGCAAGTCTCTGATACTTATCGTTGTTGAGTTATTGTACAAACAACCGACACCACTATGTTTTGGCGCAAAGAATAGTACGTACAAAGGTTGAAAGAAAAATAAGAACAAGAAGTCATGAAAATGTGAAGGTTAGCGTTAGAAGAACATTTACACCAGTTAGCCGGCAAAAGGATGGCAAATGCAATGATATTCAAAAAAAAGTCTCAATTGGAATAAGAATTTTGATATGATACTCTACTATATTAATAGGGTTGTACCAAAACTGTGTGAAAGCAGAATGTGCTGATGTTATAAATTTGAGCCAAATCTGTAACATAAACTAAATAAAATGATCTAATACATTTGCCCATTGTGTATTCACTTTATTTTGTTAAAGATGCTTGAATATGTAATACATATCAAACATCGAAAACTGTAAATAAAACTTATTTTTTCTTCGTAGTCGAATGTTTTTTGAAAGACTTTTTCGTAAAATATCTATCTTTTAGCTATATGTTTTGTTTTTTGTCGAAATATGTGTCTTCTTTCTCGAAAGTGATACAGTCGAAAAGTACTTTTATATTTATTGCTATTTGTTACGAAACACGTGAATTGCGTTCGTCGATATTTGAACTCATGTATATTTTTTAGTTTCTATTGCTAGAGCTATTTTTGCTCTAATATCTCCCAAGTTTAAAATATTCTGATAAATATTGTTCATGTAAGAACTATACGTGAACGAAATTTTGTAAGGTGAGCATCACTAAACAGGCTCGAACAATATTTTATATAGTTTAATAAAAAATTAAAAAAAATTATATCACGGAAAACAAAAATTTCGTTACATGTAAAATAGCTTGCATGTTTATTATTACAACACATGATTCTTACAAATTTCCACGATCCGCTTGATCACGTTCAATTGCTTCGAATAATGCTTTAAAATTTCCAATACCAAAACCCTGAAATAAAATGTAAGAACATACAAAGATACTCTTGATAAATAACTATTAATTATACATACACTATGATTTTTTCGTTGAATTATTTCGAGAAATAATGTAGGACGATCTTCAACTGGTTTTGTAAATATTTGTAACAAATATCCATTATCATCATAATCAATTAGAATATGTAACTTCTCAAGCTATAAGACAACAACATGATGATTAATGAAAACATAAGAATAGAAATTTTACTCACAATTGCTAAATCTTCGGTTACTTTCACTTTCGAATGTTTTAATCTTTCACGTAAATCTATATAGTAGGTATTCGGTACTTGTAAAAAGTTTAATCCACGTTCACGCATATTTCCGACCTGAAGGAATGAAAAATTTCATTTTTAAAATTATTATTACCGTTTTACTTACAGCTGTAATAATATCGGATGTATTCAATGCAATGTGTTGAACGCCTGCCGAGCCATAATAGTCAACATATTCCTAGAAAATATCAACTGTTTTATAAACTCTAGTATAAATAACATAGATCGAACATACTTGAATTTGAGACTTTTTTTTTCCTGATGCTGGTTCATTGATTGGCATTTTAATCGTTTCTTGTTCATTTGAAACGACAATGGAACGTAAAGATGAATATTCAGTATGAATTACAGAATCATCAACTGACCAAAACCGATGAAATTGTAAAGAATTTTCATACCTTTGTAAGAAATAAATCGAAAATTTATTTTATACGTATGTGTTTAATTATACGCACCATTTTGTTGTGTTTTCCATCTCATTATCTGGACAATTTCCCACCACGTGATCAATGAATTGAAGTCCAATATTAGGTCTAAAGAAATACAACTAATAATAATTAAATTTTTCAATTTGTGATAAACTTACAGTTTTGTTAATAAATTATCTTTATTTTTATGAGGATGTGGTTTAAAATTTGGTAAAAATTCACCTTTAAAATCACCTCGTTCAATCAACGTATGAGTTGTATCACCATACTAAAGACAGAGAAATTATTTTTTAGAATATATAAAAATTTAAAAATAACATACTGTTTGAATACAAGCCATTTTCACCGTGCCATTTTCATCCGTCTCGTTCCATACATCTTTGACAATTTTTGCTCCTTTTTCTCTTGCTTGTTTGACAACATTTTCAATATCATTAACACTAAAAGCAATGTCTTTTACTCCATCTCCATGGAATGTAAGATGATGACCGTAATCGTTGTTATTTGGCGTTAATGCTGATTGAAATACGAATAGAATTTTATTTTGTCGAATAACATGACTAACAACATCGCGTGAACCCGTTTCTAAACCTTTATACAGATACGGTTCAAAACCAAAGCGAATACAATACCAAGAGGCAGCCTACAAGAAATATTATATTACATATGAATTTAATTAAAATTACCTACCATCGTTACTGACCTGTAATGCATTGCCAACCCAAAATGTTAGATGATCAAATGCTTCAATACTTTTTCCAATTGTCTGTTAATAATAACGAAACGAAAAAAGTTATAAAGTAGATGAATATTTTTCGTTAACGTACCATTTTTTGTTGCTAATAAAAACAAAAACAATCTAAAAATAAAAGATAAGAGGAACTCTACGATACTGTTATAAAAGCAAGACGATTCAAAGTGATTATCAGATACGGTCGATTGATGCATCTTAATATTAACGGTATTTATTCTAAATATGATAAATGTCCTTAGAAAACGGGTGAGAAAGAAAGAAGTAATATTGTATGTTGTCACTATGACTAACTTTTACCTTAAGCATCTATCTTTATAGATTAGATAATACTAATTTTCTTAAAAACTAGACGATTACTTCAAAATGAGCTTTCATTTAAAATTTAACAGTTCATGTATGGAAATGTCTAAACTTCAACTGAAGGTACCTTTATTTTTTAAGCTCAACACAAATTCATACTGCAACTTCCAACAGTTTAATAATATTAATAATTCTCAAAATGTTTCGTATATCAAAATAATTCGATCATTCTTACGAGATACATTGAGTTAAAAAACGCTCGTCACGTACGTATGATTAATTTGCGAGATCATTTTCTTTGAGAAAGAAAATAGCTAGAAAAATTCTTTCTTTTTACCGTTAGAGCTTGGCTACATTTCTGCGTAGTTGCACTTTTTCAAATGAAGTTTATAATATCTGTATTTTGTACAGAATTTAATTCTTTGTAAGCCTAGCAGAAAGAAAAAAAACTTTTCAATACAAACATTTAGTGATCGAAAGATTTAAATTGAGTAGTCGATTTTAGATACACACTTTTTCGAGTATGAGTACGAATATTTAGTGAGGGGTATGAGTATAAGTACGAGTACAAAACAGTTTTACTCGCGTATGTATTCGAGTGTAAATTTTTATTTAAAAAAAACAGGATTGTTGTCGGAAACTTATCATGTCGTTCGACCCCTATAGTTACTTAAAACTGGAATTTAGTGCAACTTCGGTTTCATTACAATAAAATTTAACGGTGTTGTGTTAGAAAATGTCTTTAAAAACAAAACTTATTTGAGAAATCATGATACATCTTTCTGCGCACATTGGTTTTGGTTTAAGCTTTAATCTTGAACAAGAACAAAATCGAGAATATAAATTCCCATTATATCATTCTGAAACTTAAACTATCAAAACACAAAATCAATCCTTGCACAAATCTAGGATCGAACACACGAACTTGATCTTTGCAGACGAACTGCAAAAATCAACTTCGCTGTTCTTTCCTATATTCTGCACAATGATTGAAGTTATACAATGACTCGATGTTATCAATGTGTATTTTTTTATTGTGTTTTTGTGTTGAACTGCGCACGTTTCAGCATGAGAGTTGAAATTTAGTTCTGATTTTTTCGAAAGTGTACGCTTTGCTTATTATTATTCAAAATTCAAATTTTTAACCCTCGAGTTAACATATCAATCTAATTGAGATATTCTAGAAGCTTGAAAGATTGAAACCGACTGTAGATTCAGATTCTTCATGGTGACAAAAAATTTTGAGTCAAGATACTTCTGAAAAATTTTCTTCATTATTTTGTCCAATAATTTTTTTAAAAAGTTCATGAAGTGAGTCTTTTTGCTTGCAAGAGAATCGATCATGGGAAATCAGAATCTGTAGTCAGTTTGAAGCGAATACGCTTTTGATATGAATGATTTTCGAAAATCTTTTTTGTCAGCGTGTTTGAATAGTATAAGATAAGGAAACATCTAGAGATTTGGAGAACAAACACACTTACATGGTTTTTATAAAACAAGACAAGAACACTGATTTAACTTACTTTATTTGATATTTTATTTGTTTAAATACTTTTCAGGTGAAATATTTGCGTATCTTTTCTTTCTCTCGATATATATAAACATATCATAAAGAATCTTGAAAGAACAAGGCGTTGCTTTTTCGCTGCGTAAAAAGAAGATAAATATGAGTCATTAAAAATGCACACCTCTCTTTTCTAACCATGTGCTTCGAGAACAAAAAATAGGAGAGAAAAATGTAATATTGAACGAAAGTAACATAAATCAGTTATTGATATCTTGTTTTAATAGTTAAGATAACTACTGTTCAAAAGTATATATCTTTCTGTAATCCAGTATTCATAAACGCTGAAATTTTGTGTAGGTTTAACTAAGCAATATACTGCTGAACTGATTAGTTGTAAAAATAGTAAGACTATTTTATATTTTCATAATGACATAAGATGCTGACAATTCAAAAATCGAGAGAGTTTATTTTTCGTTTTTTTTTGCCACGATCGGATAGAGCACATCGAGTTGCATAGAAAAAACTTAAGTTCACAATTTTGAAACACACTTTTCGGTTAAAGAATTTTACATATCGATTTTTCAAAAATAGGTGAAACTAGGCAAAATTTTGAATAGAACTCAAAATTCAACCATTCATTCTATTTTTAAAGTTTCAAAACAATTTTTTCTTATTCTCCATCAAAACCTGGGTATAAAAAATAAATTTTGAAAATTTTAAAACTCAAATTGACTGTAAGAGATCCCTTGAAGACGAGCAGGATGGTAAAAGACCCGCTGCCCAATCTTGCAAACCTATCTAGTCCCAGCATTTAGAAGATAAAATTCTCTTTCATACTACACTCTAACTGATATACTTATGGGAAAAAAAGTATGTATTGGTTAGAAAAATTTACTTCGTCGACAAATTCAATTTTTATGAATTCAGTGAAAAACCCTGAAGTTATGTCCGTATTTTGCCATATTCTTGATCAAAATTCAGTATCTTGACAAAAACAAGATCATATTTGGAATCAACGTCAAGAACTGGGTCGAATGACATGAATCTCGGAATCTTTCGAGCAATTACTAAATGTTAGTAAAAGTAGTTCAAGTGGTACGATATCAAAAAACTTTGTCATAATGTTCACACTTATCTAAAGCAATAGATTAAAACAGAATCAGTGAACTTCACAGTGGACTTCTAGACGGAAAGGAGGGGGCCGCATAAGGCCGGGAATCGGCCCACTCTCTTTTTTGACTAAAAATGGATTCATATGTAGTAAAAAAAGTGCCTCTATTCCGTTTTCGATAAAATCAGATACTTTTGTCACGTAAAACCCGGTTAATTCCTGAACAATAGCACCTCAATAAGCACCGTTAAAAAGCCACCATATGATCAGTACAACAG